AATAATAGTAAATTAGAGGTTTTAGGAAAAGTTAAGGTATGTGTTAAATTTGATAGTAGAGAAGTTGAGTGTGAAAGTATGATAGTAAAGGATTTGACTGAAGATTATTTAATTGGATTAGATTTAATGCAAAGTATAATTGCAGGAATTAAATTTAGTTCAGATAAAAGTATATTAATAGATAAAATTAAGGAACAGACAAAAGGTGATAAAATAATTTTGGATAAGGTAGATTTAAAAATAGATGAGTTAAAGTTGAAAGGTAATAAAGAAAAAAAGAGTTAGTGTTAAGAGGACAAAGAGAGTTAGGAGAGTTAGGATGCATAAAAAGTTATGAATTTAAGATTATTAATGTTTATGAAGATAATAACAAAGTAGATTTTAAGAAACAGAATAGAGGAAATGAATATACTAAAGTTAATATTAAGAATATTTAACCCATATAGAAGGGGAAGATGTTACAATCTGAAACAAATGATGTCATTGTTTCAGAAAATCCTATAAAAGGAAAATGAAGTAAATAAACTACAGTTTATGAAAGATTTTAAATATAAAAGTGAGAGAGATAGGAGTAGCAATAATGTAATATATAAAACAGTTTTTATTACTTTAAAATAATCCAAAGCTATATTTATCGTTATTTTTGATGTTGTTTATATTACTTTTTAACCTGTTATAATTAACAAATTAAAATAATTTTTATAAAACTGATTTTTTGTAAAATTTTCTTTAACATTGGAGGATGTTGTAATATTTCTTATATGTGATGCAATCATAAAGTTATGTGTTACATGAAATTAAATATTAATTTACCAAAATATAACATTGAAAGGTTTTAACAATCTAATTTATCAAATAAAACTTTTTAAAAGAAATTTAGTATCAAATCTCATTTTATCCAAAAACATAAAAAATCCTTTTTTTCTCTAGAAAAATAAACAATAAATAAAATAAACAATAAAAAACTAAATTTATTAAAATCTTAATAAAAAAATGAATCTTCAAAGTTCTTAATAGATCCAATATTTATCTTCCAAATCAGTTTCTTTAGTAATAAATTTATCGTAGATGCTACAATACCTTTATGTATTTTTAAAACATACTTGCATTTATTCCATGCACTTTCAACGTTTTGATATGAACACCAATATGGTGGTTCACATAAGTTTCACTGTGATTAACAGTGAAATGCAAAAATCGCAAAATTCTGTTACTAATGCATCCATAAGCACGTCATTCAGCAGAGTGTATTACACTCTCAGGCAAACAATCTACTTAAATTATTGGTAAAAGACTGAAGGAGACCCTATTATGTACGACATGTAACGAGATTTTAATTAAAATGAATGACATATCTGGCAAACCAAGTACTTATATAACTTTCTAACTGATTGGCACAATGGTACTTTTAATTGTTTCTAAATAGACTTTCAACCATTTTCACAACCATTCCATTAACTCAGAGGTAAAGTGAATTTTCATTGACATTTTTTTAAAAACTCTCTTCGAAGAAGATTGATTGTTTACGTGATTTTTCTTTAAATGTTCACCTCTGATCCTATCTTTATTTGAGTTTGGTTGTTAAAAGATTTATAACATATGTTCATTATATTACTTAGAGGTAAATTAAAATTTGATAATAGTGATTCGGTGTAAATAAAAAGGTATTTACCGTAGTTAATACAACTATTATTAAAACATCTGTGGTACGTTCTAACCCATTTTCTAGACTATGATCTTGCTTTAATATATTGTTGACAATATACACACTTCACGTGCCTCTTCAATATGTACTTGGTGCAAAAAGTACTATTAAGTTTTTAAATGGTTTACGCAATAACTGTTCTAATACACTGCTATACCAATAATTCATGGGTTAAAAAATTTCTTAAAAAATATTTAATTATATTTAAATATTATTTTTTGTTTCTATTTTTAAGTCATTTTTTCCCTCACATTAAGAAAAAAAGTGATTGATCCAATATTTTTACTACGTTTTTTTTCAAAAAATGTCGCAATTTTCAAAAGATACTATACCTAATATTTTTAGAAAGTTTTTTTACTATTTTTGAGTTTATAACATAGGGTTTGAGCTCGTTTAGCAGTTAAAACCCAAAGATTACTCAATATTCTTATAACAGATACCAAATAACTTTTTTTAAATATGCTCTTGATGCTCGAAATAGTTTGCTTGTGATCTGTGTCCTAAATTTCATAAATTCATTTTTAATTGAATTATTTAAAATTTTCTTATGACAAGGTCTAAATTTTCTTGTTATTGAGAAGTTTTTTAATAAGTTCTTATTAATATTATAAACAGTAGTTTTAAAGACATTTATTTTTTTAACAGCTTATTGGCTCAATCTTTTCTTTAAATTATTGCAAAAAAAAACGCTTAAATTTTATTTTATACCAATTGTTATTACAAAAACATCATTTTTATGTTAATTTTTGGAAAATAAGAAAAATCAATTTTTTAAAATTTTTAAAAACAATCTGAAAAATATTTTTTTTATTTATTCTTTGTATTCTTTGTTGTTTTAAAATAGATATTTATTATTTAATCTATTTTTTAAGTGATCATTTTTTTATTAATACTGTAAAACAATTTTTCTCATTAAAAACATTTTACAACAACATTCTTACTTTGGTTAATTCTTTCTACAATCGAATTACCAGTTACATTATACGCAAATTAAATTTTGTAATTTTTAATGTTAAATAATCTACAAGTAACCTTTTTTTGTCATTCTTCTTAAGTATTAGAAACGCAAAACTTTCATATTTAAAAATGATTTTTCTAATAACGACAAGTTTTAGTAACCTGTATATTTCTTGTTTTGTATTATATAATGTTTGTTATACAAAATAATAAGGTTAAAGATTTATTGGTTTTTCATATTTAAGTTCTATATTCATTTCAACATTAATAATAAACCTAAATTCAGGTGTAGTTGCTTTATAGTCATTATCTAATTTTTTATTTTATATGACATGACATTAAACTAATCTTTTTTTTAGAAATTGTCCGAGTAAAGATAATTTCTAATAAAAAGTTGTATTTAATTATGTTTCTACACCTGTAATCTTTAAAATGTTATTTGTTAACTTAACTTCAAAGTTATTTTAATATAAACATTTTATTTCTAATATTAACTCTTGTGATAGTTAGGTATTACAAATATAATGAAAAGAACTTTAATTTTAAAAGATTTGTTTATATGTGCTTTAAATCAAATCTGTTTTAATTATTTAATTATAATATTATTTGCAAGTATTATTTTATTGTCAAATGCCATTTCTTCACAATCTAATTTTAAAAGAATGTTTGCTTATATGTAATTTTTATTATCACACATATTAATTAAGGTGTATAATTTTAAATTGTTAACTTCTAGATTAATAAGTAGCTTATTGTTGCTTTGGTATTAAGATTCTTGAATAATTGAATTTATCATTTCATGTTGATTACTTTTGATTTAAATTATCTTTCATTTACTTAAAGCATGTTAAATTAACATGACTACTTACTCTATACATATCACCTCATTATTTTCTTGGTTGATCAAATGTTTTAATTTTTTAAATGTAAAATCATGTTCAATATTATCAAGAGTTACCAAAAGTTTGAGCGCATTTTTGATGTTGTTGGTATTAACTTTAAATATTTCTTTTTAATTATGTCTATAAAAACAATTTTAGAAATATTACATCAGAGAATTTTCTTACATTTCATCATTTCGAGATAAACAAACATTAATTTATCTCTTTAAATACACACATTTATAATAGTTCTAGTAGTTTGCATTGCTATGCTTCTTAATATTATAAGTTTAGTGTTAATATATTTTTAGATCTTTTAGTGTAAATACTATTTCCTTTAGTTTATTTAAAGCTTTTTCAACAGTTTCGAAACTTTCAGAAAGATCAATTTTGTGGCTACTCCAATAAGGAGTCTAAATTACATTAATAATTTAGATTCAGATCATTTATAGCTTCTTTAAATCTTTCTAAATGTTTAAGCCATAATATAACATTTGTTTTATTTTCTAATTTATCAATTTTTTATAGTTAATTGAGGTGCTTCTTCTCCATCCTATAAAACAGTTCTGAACATAAGTATTTTTGATTAAAAAATTTCTCTTTTCTGTTATTTACTTATATTTAAGTCGAAATATCTTGGTGATGTAAGCGAAATCAAGTTAGATTTTTGGTTTTAAAGTTATTTTTTATCCGTTTTTTAGACTGTTAATTTAAAACTGACTGCTACAAATATGTTTCAAATGTAAATACGTTAAAAGCATTTTATTATAGAATGTTTAAAATTAAATCAAAAAAATTTAAAAATATTAACAGAGGATCGAACATTAAAAACAAAGTGAAGTAGTTTTATTTTTAATCTAAGTCATTTTGTTTTGATATTCAATTAAATTAATAAGTATTTATAATTTATTAAAAAATTTTTTTTAAATAAATCAATTAAGAATCGAACTAAAAAAATTGTGTCATGTTTATAACTAAAACACCGACGCAAAGTTTGTTTATTAAAATAAAATATAAATATTTAAATAAAAATGTGGTTGTTGGGTTGATTACAAATTTTCGTTCCAACACACTCTTAACCTTATACCAACTATGTTTTTAGTAATTCATCAGACTGTCATCAATCTTAATATCTTTCTCATCAAAACCATCTGTTTAGAACAAATCATTGCCCATATTTAATAAATAATTGTTGTTTAATTAAAAATTCATTTAAGAATCTTAATTGATGTATTAGACATCTTTTTTTGACAGAACTATTTTTTATAAACATAGATTATAAAGTTCAAATAACTGCACCTCTTTAAAACTCTAGTTTATTGAAACAATTTAACTAAAACATCAATTAATATAATTTATTTATTAATATTAATAAGTATTTAAGAAATAATATATTGATTTTTTAAAAAATTTTAAGTCTTTTGTGTATTAAAATAACGCTGAAAGTTATAACAAAATCATTTTTTTCTAAATAAAAAATTTTAAGTTAAATATAAAAAATGATGTTTTGGGGAATCGAACTTTATAAAATTAAGTTCGAGTTCTTATAAAACACAGACCTAATCTTCCAGTAAATTATAATAAAAATAATATATTTAAAATTTACAAAGATATTTAAACAATAACAAAAATTGAATTTTATAAAATTACGCCCTGTTTTTAACTTAACAAAGCGATAATTCTTTATGTAATTAAAAAAAATAATATGTTAAAATTTACAAAGACATTTAAAGAATAATTTGATTATAATCAGATAAAATTTGTAATACGTTCTATTACAAATCATTTTTGAAGCCTTTTTACATGGCAAGACATTTAAATGATATCGATAAAGCTTTAATTTGTGATGACATTGAGTCAGGATTGAGTTTAAACCAAATTTCTATTAAAATAGGTTTTGTTAGAAGAACTGTACAGAGAATAGCTGAAAACTTCAGAAATAATGTTTTAATTACCCGTAAACAAGGTTCTGGTTGTCCTTAACTATTAAATAATTTCATGAAGCAGTTTATTAAAAATCTTCATAATATGAATCCATTTATTTCATCTAGGGAAATAATTGAAAAATTGAATAATGAATTTAATTTAAAGGTTTCAAGACCCACAATATCAAGATTTTTAAGTATTTAAGGACTTATAACTAACTTGGCATTGAAAAAAAACCTTTATTAAGACCTGTCAATATTAAAAAAAGATTTGAAATATGTAAAAATTTTTCAGGAATGAAAGACGAAACCCTTAAAAGAATAATTTTTTTAGATGAAGTAAAAATTAACATATTTACTAGTGATGGGGCAAGATATGTTATACATTACCCAGGAGAAAAACATAACAGTAAAAAGATTGTACCTACATTAAAACATGGAGGAGGATGTGTTATGGTCTGGGGTATATATCATATCAAGGTGTTGGTAGACTAGTATTTATCGAAAATACTATACAGGGGCTGCTTATAAACAAATTTTAGCAAAAAATTTAAGACAGTCAGCTAATGAAATTGGTATTTTTCATTTATTTTTCTGTATTATAATGATCCAAAACACACTTCAGGTGTTGTTAAAGACTGGATTGATGCAAAAGAAATTGACATCTTACCTTGGCCAGCTCAAAGCCCGGATTAAAACCTTATTGAACATATATGGGCTTTTATTAAGAAAGAACTTTGTAAAAAGGGTAAATTAAAAAAACAAGAACTTAAAGAGGAAATCGAAATCCTAAGAATCTGGAATTCCATAAGACCCAAGATGGTACAGCAAAAAATTATGAGTTTTAATAAGAGAGTTCTAGCAATTTACAATGCTAAAGGCAAACATGTTGATTATTAAATTTTAAGTGACTTTTTTTGAACAGTGTTTTAAAAAATTTTAATTAAAAGTATAATTTATTTTATTTTTAGTGTATAGTCTTGTTTACATATCCTATCGATATGATATAGACATCATGAACCTTTTCAATACGCTTTTGGTTGTAAAACTCTATCAAGTTATTAATTAGTCTACGTAATAACAGTCTAATACACTGCTATACAAAAGATTTTGGGTTTTTAAAAATATCAAAGAATATTTTATTATATAATATTTTTTGTTTGTATTTTTAGATTATTTTTTCCCCATGCTAAAAAGGAATTTATGAAAAAGTTTTACCTATTAAAATGTTAATAAATAAATTATTAAACCTATATTATATGTATAAAACACCAAGTTAAACTAAGGAAAAGGTAACCGTTTTATTCTAAAAAAATTAAAAAAAGAATACCATATGTTGAGAATCATCATCTAAAACGGTTGCTTAAACACTATTTTAAAAATGTAAAGAATTAAATCAATATTTAAAGAATTGAAATTTTTAAAAATATTAAAGTTAAAATGTTGTAATAATTTTATTTATTATTTTTTATCAATAATAATGGTCATGTAAAAGATTTAAATTTGGTGTTAAATATCAAAAAAATTAATAAAATTGATATATTAAAACAATTTTAATATAAAAAATAAATAAATAAAAATAAGTTTATATGAGTTGTTGAAATATTTAGATCTAGTTAGTTCTACAACAAGATATTTGAAATTAAGAAATAGAAAAAATGCTACATATAAAATAAAACATTTTAGAAATAATCACAATTTTATAAACTAAAATTTAAAATAAAACTATAATTGAGTTTGATTTTTAAAAAAAAGAATATAAAATTAAATTTCTATTTAATTATTTAATAAAATAATTATAGTTTATGTCAAAACTTTATTGTTTTGAAAAAAATTATTTATAGTAATTCTTATTTGTAATTATTTTTATTTATAATTTAATAGGTATTAAATTTTTTATCTAAGCTTCCAGAATTTCTCACCATCCATAAAACATCACTAGATATAACTATTTATTATTGTTAAAAAGCTAATTTAAAACATTTTTTAATGAAATTAAAATTAACATTAACAAGAATCGAATATTAAAAAATAATCAGCTGTTTTTACTAAACAGAAGATCAAATTTTCACTATTAAATAAAATTATAATTAAAAAATTAACATCACAAATTTAACTTAATAAATATAAACTAAAATTTAATCTAAATTTAAATCGATAATAAACTGACATAAAATGAAAGAAATTGAATCAAATTTTCTTAAAAAATTCAGTTTGTTAAAATATCATTAAATTAAGCTTATTTGTTTATTACTATTTAAAAATATATAAATAAATAAAATATTAGTTACTTATAAAGATTTAAAGTCTTTCCTTCACTTATAAGAACCACTTATTATAATAAAATCATTTCTTTTTATTTAACATTATTATAAAATTTAAAGTTAAATATTAAAAAAATGATGTCTTTGAGAATCGAACTTTATAAAATTAAGCAATTCTTGTCTATACAGTTGCTCAATTGTAGCTTTATTTATAATTAAGTAAAATATTTAAAGTTAATGAAAATATTTCAATTATTTAGAAAAAATCGAATTTTATAAAATTGATACTTGTTTTAACTTTACAAGCTGTCAATTTTCTGCATATTTACGATAAAAACAAAATATTTAAAGTTAATGAAAATATTTCAATTATTTAGAAAAAATCGAATTTTATAAAATTGATACTTGTTTTAACTTAACAAGCTGTCAATTTTCTTAATATTTATAATAAAAATAAAATAATTAAAGTTTACGAAAGTTTTTCAAAGATTTAGGAAGAATTGAACACTATAAAAATGTAAACTTGTTTTTAACTTGACAAGTGGACAATCTTCTGACTTATTTATTATAAGAATAAAATATTTAAATAATTATTTTATAAAACACAAATATGGTCTTTACTAAAAGAATTTCCATTAATAAATATTTTAAAATATCTGATAATTTATAGTTTTAAATTTTTTAAAACTATAAATTAAAATTTAGATTCTATTTATATAATATATCAAACGTAATTATATTACGCTTTAATTATATATTAAATTATTCATTTTTATTCTCGGTATGTTTATATTACTTTTATTGACTGTCTTAATTATAATACTCTGTTGTTTGATTAAAATATCATATCATAAAACGGATTTATTTAATAAATTATCTTTAACATTAAAAGATGATGTAATACTATTCATTGGTGAAATAATCATAGATTCAAAGAAAATTTAGATCATATTAATAAGAAATCTGTAGTTATGCAATTGTCATGTGGTGTATTACAAACTAATTTATTATTTTTGTTGTTAGTCTTATTATACATCGTGAATTTATAGGTATTACTTTTATTACAATTTTTATGATAAAATAAAAACGAGGTTCTAATTATTATAACAAACCATAAGTTGATGATTTATTTGTAAAATATAAAAATTTAAAAAATTTAAAAATAATAATTTTTTAACTGAAAAATATTTATTTGATATTTTTTTACCTTTGAAAGGTATGAGTAGCTAAAAAAAGAATTTATTATTAAATATTGAAGACAAAGAGATTGAATCTTTGCATCAAGATGATATAATATATCTATATGAAAGCGCTTATGTAAATAAATTAGTTTACACATCCTCTACTGGTTTTAGTACAAATAATTTTATGGTATATTTGTGATTGACAAATTATATGTTAATAATAATTAAGTATGAAATTGATCAACTTTTGTTAAAAAGTATTTTTGTAAATAAATTGGATGATGAGAAAATTTTCTAAAAAGATAAAGTAAATGAGGATGAAGATACTACACTTACAAATAATAAAATGGTTTTAACCAATATAAATCATAAAACGCCTTCCCATATTATCCCTCTTCTTTACACCAAAGGGTTATAATTTTTAATTGTTTAGCCATTAGTATTTTTTTTACTCAATTTCAATTAAAATAAATCACTTTTAAAATTAAATATCAAAAAGGTCCTTTAAAATAAGAGTTTTTTGATATTTTAAATTTTTACCAAACATAAGTTATTAAAAAAAACAAAATCACTAACTCTTGAATTATTAAATCGAACAATATAATCTAAAGTATCTTGAGTAAATTTTTGATTTTTTCATTTGCTTAAAAACTAATTTTAATTTCATCAGGATTAATATTACTTCGATAAATAACACCTCACAAGGTGAATAATCTAAAAAATAATTATATAATTTATTATATCAGCATTCTTTTGATTTGCAACTCATACATAAAACCAACTAGTTAAAATTGATTAACACCTATAAACCGATTTAAGTCTTATAAAAATATTTTACCAAAAAATTTTTATCAAATTTTTTTAGAATTTTTACATCCTTAATGTAGTATAGTTTGCTTTATGAGCTTATATAAAATATAATAGTTTTTTGAATTTTCTGGAGTCAATTATTGCCATGAAACTTGTAACCGAAAGGCGTGATGATTTTGTGAAAGATAAAAACTTTCCGTAGGGAATAGAAAGAGAATTGACTGACTCATCTTTCTCCGGTGCAAGTAGTACTATAAAAAGAAGAGTCTTTTTGAGAATGCCTTTTTTGTTATTAATAAGGAATAAAACGACTTGTGATATCAGTTTGCAATTGGTAAAATTTATCTTTCTTTATTTTGAGGACAGAATAGTATCATATATGATAACTGTGACTTAAATAAAGGAATTTATACATGAAAAAGTTGATTAATTACATTTGATTTGAAACCCATGATTATATTATGAGTGAAAATTAGAAGGCCTGAGAAAATTGTAAAAATATATTAATTTTTTTAAAGGTCATCGAAATTCAACCGAGAAAGATTTTTTCTTGATAATTATATAGAGAGTAATTGTATTAACAATCACATTTTCACCTTTTGTGACAGTTTTGCGAATTAGGGTTTTGGAATGGCAGAACAATGATCCAGAAAATTTAAGATATTTCTTGTAGAGAACCGAGATAAAGATACCTTTTTACCACTGTTGTTAACATGAGGATACGTAAACTGTCATTGTATCAGATACAGAAAGAGCATACTTTTGTCTAAAATCTTATTTTTATAACCATAATGTGGTAAACCATAGTGAAAATTTTATAAACACAAAAAACTAGATGTCATTCCTTATTGATTAAGTGTATATAAAACCATACAAAGTTTAAATAAAAATAAAGAATGTGTTATTTTTTCTCAATAGTTATTTAACCTTTTTTTCTATTATTTTTGACATAAAGATTGAAGTTTGCGAATCTTTAAAGATCTAAGGAAAGAATTTTTTAAGCTCTTTTTTTTATTTTATCAACTACTTCTTTTTTCTTGCCAATAGGGTAGTGATTGTTGATAAAATAAAGTATTTTAAATATTTTTTGTTATTATAATTTACAGGGATAATCTATTTTTGGGATGCCAATCCAATTTACGGATTTACACTTTAAATTAATACGCAATACAAAAAGTGTTATTTTTTACTTAAATATGTACTTATTAACTTTTTTCTTAAAATTTATTTTTTTGAA